TTGAGGAAAACCAACATATGGTTGTTGTTGTAACCATAATCATTGACATAAGATAAAAAAAAAAGAATATATATATATATATATATATATGAAAGATTAAAATTATAATCATTGACATAAGATAAAAAAAAAAATACCATGAAAAAAAGGCGTAAGTCAAATATAATAAAAAAAATAAGTTTATGTAAATCTTTTAAATCTAAGATAAACTTTCAAACTTACAATCCGTATTTTAGATAATAAAATTAATTAATTTAATTTAATTTATAAATAAGATCTTTTTAGAAAAACTAAATTCAACAAAAGATATATATTGAAAAAGAAAGAGAGCAAAGTAATTCTTATTATTTTAAAAATGACTAAAAAATTTCATAAAAAGCAATTTCAAAAATCTAACAAAATATTAGAGGATAAAAACAAAAAGTGTTGATAAAAGAAAAAATTATCAAGGAAACCTTATCAATTTTGTAAACTTAGATTAATATCTTCAATCCGTGAACCAATATATTTTAAATTTAAACTCAACTAAAAAATTAAACATCTAATTAATTAAATATTAAAAAATAAGATAATAATAATAATAAATTTAAAAAAATCTTGTAAAATAGAAAGAATACTATCATAACAAAATACAACTAAGAAACTAAACACCCAATAATTATACCCAATAATTATTTCATTGATTTGTTTTTAAATTGAATCAATATAGATCAATTCTCCCAACTTACAACTACTACTAAATATTTATGAGATCGAGTTTTACAACTATAATTTAGTCTTTTATATAAGGAGCCTTGTATTAATAGACCATAATAGACGATAATGCCCTTCTTAATATAGGATTGACCTAACTCCCATTGAATAGAATATTATGTTGATGGGTTCTTACAGCAGCCTACTAAATGGGGTAGCCTAGCATTAGGCACAGGTCTATTTACTAGAAAAAAGGGTAGGTCGAACCCGTATGTTTGTTCCTAAGCTAATTAAGCAGACGCTAACACTAAAAATATTCCACTTTTAACGGAAGCTAACTTTCAAAGACAGATCAAATATTCCGAAAAGTACTAATATCCAAACATATCCTTACTTCAATTTTGAGTTCAAAATTCAAGTTTCACAAAAATGTTTAAATAAAAAGTTAATAAGACTAACTCAGCTTGTAATCTAATCTAAGATCTAAATCATAAATTAAATAAGTTAATATAAGTTAATTCAAGATGTTATTCTAAAACAATGTTATTGCATTTTAAAAATTAAATCAAGTTTTGATTAGTTTAATCAGGTTAAAAATTGATAAATCAATTTTTATTTGAGTTAAATTAAAATTTAATTCAGGTTAAATCTTTAATTATCAAGTTATTAGATTAACCGGAGCTAAGCCAAGGTTAGATGAGGTTTAATAAGAAAGATTAAATACTTAAATGTTCTTCTATCTTGTTGTTTTTGGACACTTTGCCAGCACTCACACTTTCTCACCTAGAATACACTGGGAACATCAGAAATTAGGTGACAAGAATGCTTTCCTCGAACAAGAAGGGAGAGTTTATTATTACATAACGAAACCAACATCGACATTAACCCCAGCATCATCGATCAGCGGCAGGTTCTAAAGCTAGCAAGTTGCCTGGCTGAAGAGCAAGGCTAACACAAGTGATGCTGACATGCTTATGGATACTCAGCTATATTGAACAAGCAAAACAAAAACACTTATTTGAAAAGGGCCCAAACAGAGGATATTAGGATAGTGCTTTTTTCATGTCAGAATGCATGCTTGGCAACCTTAACACATGACTAGAAAGACTCGCCATATGCAGTAATGGTCACCGCATTTTCTTTGCTTAGCTTAACAAAGCTTGGTGCAAAAACAGCGGCGACGGAAACCTTTGCATCTTCCACCAGAGAAACCTTCATTCCTGCACACCCAAGCACAGTTATGGTCCCTTGCACATGGGCCTTTAAAATAATGGCTCTGTGACAAGCAAACCCTTGCCTCAGTAGGCACCACCACCTCCTCTGCATGCAAAAACACACAACCAAAATCAAATATAATTACCAATAGAAGTACTTGTTAAAGAAAGTGTTGAGAGAGTTAAAGGAGGTGCATGCTAATTAAATGGACTTACGAGAAGCCAAGACAATGAGGAGCAAGAAGAAAAGCCCAAAGGATCTCTTGATCTCCATGTCTTTTTTGCTCAAAACGTTTGCTAGCTAGCTCGATTGTCCACTGTAAAATGAACTCTACTCATTTATATGCTGCCTAGAACATGGATGCCACATAAGGGGCTGTAATTTCCATGCTGTAAGGGCAGACAAATACATAGAAAGTGTTAAAAGTGAGAACATTCTCACATGCACAAAGCAGACACCCCCATGCTCATCCACCTCATGTCTACTCATGAGTTTGTTTTGTTCTGGCGTGCAGGATCTCTGCTTGGTTATACTACATGGGAAAAATCACAGAGCTCGATCTCTTTCACTATATATTTACTTTTAATTTATTGTATTCAAACTAGATCCTGGTGCATTCATCAACACAAAGGAAAAGAGTATTTCTAGCTTTTATCCTCCTTCCCTTTCCTGTTCTTTAATTTCTTGTATTCAAAATTCCTTAATACTTTCATCCCATTCTTCTATTATCCTTGTAATGTTTTGTCCCGTAACTTTATCAGCACATGTTCATCCTTGTAATGTTTTGTCCCGTAACTTTTATCAGCAAATGAGTCGGGGCGGAACGAAGTTAAAATTTATGATTTTTTTTAAGACAAGGTCACAACACTATCACTGTCAACCAAGCCATAGAAGAAGAAAGGATTATATATGCCTTGTTGGTATGATCAAAGAACAAAAGGAAATACAATAACAACGGACCTCAAGTATTGATAGGCCCACAAAGAACAAAAGGAAATACAATAACAACAGACCTCAAGTATTGATAGGCCCCCCTCTGGTTATATTGCTTACAGAACATGGGATTTATGAAGATCTATAGGGAAAGTAATAAGACAGCAGATCATATGGCTAAGGTCGTGTAATTTTACAACAGATCGGCTTCTTGTGCTTCATGGCTGTTTTAATTTAATTATTGTACGTATTTTTAAAAGAAATCCCACCCTCCTTATGGGTGTCCTTTTAATCCATTTAGATAATTGGGGCAAAACAATTAACAAAATTTTGTATAAAGAAGGAATCAATCTTTTAATGTCAGATTGTATAATTTTTTTTTTTTATCTTTATTCCAAGTTGGTCTGTTTCAATTAGTATATAGTTGATTAATATTTAATTTTTTCATAGTTCAGTGTTAGTAATGTTTAAGGAAAAAGGTCAGTTCTTGTTGATCTGATACGATTATTAATTTATGAAAAAATCACTAAATTACTAGGATCATAATTTAATTTCTTAAATTTATTTAAGTAACATGTGAAACATTTACTCTTTTAATTTAAATCAAGTCGATTAAACTTACTCGGAATTAATACTCGGAACTTGACTGACCGGTCTCTAGTACATACCAGAGTAAAAAAAAATCAACTGAAATTGACTCGAACTTGACCAACCGGTCTTTAGCCAGAGACTAGTGTCAAAGAAGAATCAAATCAACTGAAATTGACTAGTGATCTAATTAAAATCTAGTTCGATTTAAAAAATAAATAATCCAAACAACACCAATATCGATCCATGTTATAACTCACGTAAGATGTAACCCGAGGCTTCAGCTCAGGGTTTAACAGATTTCCTACATTATTTGTGGAAACAAAAAAAAAAGCACACAAATCAGAATAGTTCAAGAGCTAATCATTCATATTCCAATACTTCTAAAAGCAGAGCAACCAACAGCTAGCATCATCAACTGAATCCTCAAGAAAAGGAAGGGAATTTATTTATTTAAGCAAAGTACCCAGCAACGCCACCCATATGAACAGCAAGTACGAGACTGGCCATGACATGGATGCTGCATTTTTATTTTTTGCAGTGACTAACAAGGCTTGGCGCAAAAACAGCGGCGGCGGAATCCTTTGCACTCACCACCGGGAAAACCTTCAGTCTTGCACACATTAGCACAGTTGTGGCCTCTTACACATGGTCCTTTAAAATTATGGCTCTGTGACAAACAAACCCTAGCCTCAGTAGGTACCATCATTTCCTCTGCAAAATGGCACACATAAATTTTTAAAAAATCAAGCAATCAATCTCCTTTAAAACACATACAGAAAGAACAGTTGATTTAATGGCGGGGAAAGAAAAAATGGGTGCATGTTAAATATGTACAATGACTTACGGGAAGCCAAGGCAATGAGCAGCAACAAGAAAAGGCCATAGCATTTCTTCTCCATCTCTCTGTCTAACAAGAACCTGTCGAACCCTAGCTCTTTCACTGCTACTGCTACTAGTATCCAACACTTCAACTTGAAATTGATTTGGGTTCCCTCAAGAGTATTTATACTACTCAACAAGATGCATGTCACGTGATCAATGGTGAAAATCTAGGGATTTTTACATACCGTTTGCCATTGCCATAATTTCTACTTTATATCTAATAAAAAAAACATTAGGTGAACTAAAAAGTTTTTTATTTTTATATTCAACCACGTATATAATTGTTTTTAATTTATTTGAAAATCTATCTTTTTTTACTAAAAATAAATCTAAAATATTTTTTAAAAATAAATTGAAATAGCAAGAAACGATTACAGTGCACGTTTCTTGCCGAACAATCACTTCGAAGTGATTAAAAAATATTTTCACGCGCACACGGAAAACCCTACCGACAACTTTATCTACATCAAGATTTCCCACCGACAACTTTATCCACAGCAAGATTTCTCGCCGATAGCGTTATCTACATCAAGACTCGAGTTTGTTTTCTTCTGCCATTCAGCAGTAATACTTCGTCGTGGCAATACCGGAACCAGATGTCTCTTCTTGAAAGCATGATAAAAAAAGGGATATGGAGTCATTCTTCGGCTTTTGAAGTTGCCAGAGGGGAAGAAAGTACCTTATAATTAATTTACTCATTCAATTACAGATAATAAATTTGAATTTCGAACCGTATATCATGTTAAGAACGCAGATGAACAAGATTTCTAAGAATAATTTTATATTATTCTTGAAACTAGAATAATTTACTTTGGGGATGAGGCAATGAATACGTTGAAATAAAAAATTATTCAAACATATTATGTTATGTATTATGTACTAAATTGTTTGTTTTTCTAGTACAAGAAATGTGATGTATAGAAAACAATTACGGCATATATTACTAAAATGGAAGTTCTTCTATTATAAGGATGATGATGTACAAAAATAATTCGGACCTTGTTTGAAACCAACATAGAGTTTTTTGGACTCTGAGGATTCGCAATTTGTCTGCATCACTTTCTCCTGATTTTACTCACATCCACTCATGGCGTCTTGATATTGATATTAATCAAAAAGTCAATTGTTTAATTTCTAGCATAGGCTAAGGATGCAATATAATTCAATAATGCATATGATATCAACTGGTCGGGGAGTTGGCGTATTGGCCAGGTTAAGAGAAGCCAAGACAAAACTACTGAGGTTTTCTCGGATACCGTTTGCAGAAAATAATTTGTTTTTATCCGTAATTTTTATAAAAAATTAATTATTTTTTAATATTTAATAGTATGATAAAAAAAAGTTGAAAATCTTCTCTAATATTTGAATATATTATAAAAAAAATATATTAAAAGTAATTTATTAATACTTTTTTAAAAATTTATTAAAAGAATAGGGATAAAATCTAATATATGAAAAGTTAGAGAATAAAATTGAATAAAATATTAATTTTATAAATTATTTTAAATAAAATAAATAGTAATTAAAAAAACAGGGTTAAAATACATAACTTTTTTAAATAAAATAAATAATATAATTAAATCTGATAAATAAATAAAAATTAAGTGAAAAAAAAAAGTGCGGGAGTCTATCTACTATCTTCATTTCCACTTTCCAAATTAGATCAAGTAAACGACAAATAAAAAGTCCTTTAATCTGAACTTTAATCATGTCAGTTCTTGTTGAACTTTATTTCTTGTTTCCCTCGCAATTGCTCTTGTTCACTTGGTGGCTTGAGGGGTCTACGTGAGACGCAACCTGGTTATCTAGACAGTATTTTCACTGAGGATATTTTTCAATTTTTTATAATTTTTGAAAAGTATATTCTAGAAATATTTTTTGTTCGTTAACTTTTTTAGTCATAAATAAAAAAAAATTAAAAAATAATTTTAAAAAACTACTTTCCACGAGTACTTAGTCTACATTGTTGACCTCTGCTGCTCGATCCCCAATCAAAACCGCCAACTAGTAATAAAAACAGTGTGTATATATATATATATAATTACACATAAAAGAATATTTTTCCATGGATCATTAATAATTTTTTCTTAAATATAAAAAAATATAAAAAGTATATAAAATATTTAAATGTTCTATGTGGGACATCAATATTAAACTCAATTATATTAAATTTAATAACTAAATTATATCCAAAATAATTTTAGAACTGAACTATAAAAAAGTTCAAAAACTATTGAGCTTGATTAATTAATTAAATTCAATATTATTAAATTTTTTTGATGATTGGGCTCAATGTTATTTGATCCTAATCCTATGGCAGAGCATAACCACTAAGAGAAAAAAATTGCAATTCAGCTTAAACTTGAATGCAATTCAAGTTAAATTGATAATGAAAATTATCATTATTTAATTTTTATATGGTATAAATTTTTTTTATTAATTTAGTTTTTTTATAAAATAAAAAGAATTATAAAAATAAAATTAAAAATATTTAACTGATAAATCAGACTCACTAATATTGAATCTAATTATCAAACCAAATTTAACAGCTTTTAATATAAAATAATAAAAAGAATAACGTTATTTATATACTGATATTTTATTTTTTTATTATTAATATAAATATTAAAATTAATTTATATATATATATATATTAATTAATCTTATAAATATTAAAATTAATAATTATATAAATTTTTGATGATTATAAAAAGATTTGAATTTATAATTATTTAAAAAAACTTAAAATTTTACCCGTTAAACTAGGATTTTCTTTTAAAATATAGTATAATGTTGACGTGGAGGACGTGCTCTCTGAGACTGGTGGGCTACTGGCTAGCTAGAAGAGAGTGCACTGTCGGTAAGAAGGAAAAGTGATACTGAGGATCATTCACGTGAAATGACAAGAGCAAGCTTGTCTAAATACGCTTTCTGCCACGATCGCTGTGCACACCAGCTGTTAGATACCTAGATGGAATCGGGTTCCTGTGTTTGGCACGTTGAAAGAATGTTATTGGATACCGTTTGCCACTGTGTTTTGAAAAAAAATTAAAATGTTTTTAAATTAATATATTTTTAATATTTTTAAATTATTTTAATATACTAATTTTTAAAAAATAAAAAATTATTGATATATTTTTCTAAATAAAAAATTCTTTAAAAAATATTAATATGCGTGGTGAATTCTTGGCCCGAGGCAAGATTTGATGGCATAGATTTCTATCACCGGGAGCCCAAGCTGTCGGAGCACTGTAAATTAGCCGGAATCCTTTGATCTGATATTAACTGGAGCCAAGCTGTTGCAGAACAAAAATCATTTTTATTTATAATTCATTTGTGGCGAAATATATTTATATTATAGAATATTGATCTGATATTTTATTGAAAGTGAAAGGATGTTATGGCCAAGATTTTCATTTTGTCAAGTGGGATAGGGATAACGCTTGAAATACCATATATTAATGAGGTTAAAGACGATATTTTAATGTTGAAATCACTATCTTTTCTTCACCTTGATGATATTTAAACTTGTAATTACATGACCAATAAATTTTTAATAATATATTTAAAAATCAATTTAATCTAATAATTTTAAATTTTAAATTTTAAAAATAATTTTGTATTATTTTTTATCATAATTCTAACCGGATGTAATGTTGAAGTAAGAGCAAAATAGATGGGAGGGAGTATGAAGTGAGCGTTTGGAAACATATATCAATCTGTATTTTAAAAAAATTTAAAATATCTTTTACTAAAAGTTATTTATTTTTATATTTTGAATTGTTTTTAAACATTGATTTCAAAAATAATTTTTAAAATATAAAAAATATTATTTTAATATATTTTAAAACACAACTGTAGCAAATACCTAAGAGTAATGCATCAAAAGATTTGCAACCATTCTCGGTGGCTGTCTCTTGCCTAGATGGTGACAAGCAGGCTGTTTTTAATCTAACATATACTATGATAGGTAGCTGGAACTATCCGGGTGCTGAGCACATCGAATGGATCTTTTCTTGAAGAGCTTTTATGGAGACTTTTCCTCTTCTTCATACAGTGTTATCTTACCATGTGAGTTAGGAGGAGATAAGTTCCCTTATAAATTAGGGTTTTGTTGATAATTAAAGCCGTATTTACAAAACTCGAGTTTGTCTTGTTCAAAATCTACGTCACGAAGGATAAAATGGTTAGGGTTTGGATCAGGATGAGACAACTTCCTTCACTGCCTACTCTGTTTTAACCGCCTGGATAGCTCAAGTCTTATAATTATAATTAAAAACTTAAATAATTATAATATATGCAGTTCTATTAAAAAAAAGAAAGAAATAAGGAAACAATAATTGTTTCCTTATTTCCTTTAAGCTAGCTTGCTTTTTTTCTTTCTCTCTTTCATTGGGTTTTTTTTTTTAATTCTCTCAAGCTTTCTTTTCTTTTCTTTTTAATAATCATCAAAGTATGTTGAAAAAACCATGAAGTAATATACAGGGACAAGACTAAATAGAGAAAAAAAAAAGTAAAAAAAAAATAAAGGAAAAGGAAAAAAAAAAAACCCAATACTAGTTGGCTATACAAAACAAAAAGATAAGGAAAGAAAAGGTAAAATAAAAAATAAGTAAGCGTTTGTTTTTTGTAAAGTAATTTTTATAATTTTATTTTTTAAATTTTTTTATATTTGTTTACCATTAAAAAAATTAGTCAATAAAAAATACTTTTCAATCAACAGAAAACACTACTTTGACCTGGTTTTCAAAAAAATATTTTTCTTTTATTTTGAGTGAAAATCATTTTCTAAAAGTTGTGAAAAATTTAAAAATATCATATTATTTACTAAGTATATCAAATTTGATTCTTATACTTTTTATTGCTATATATATTTTATTTTGAATATTTATTTTTCAATTTCAACCCTTAGAATTTATTTTTTATATTAATTTTGATCCTTATTTTTATAATTATTTTTTTCCTCATCAATTTTTAATTCAAAATTTTTATTTATCAAATTTGATCCTTATTTTTTATTCTTACTTATTTTATTTGAAATAATTTATGAAATGTTAATTATTATTATTATTTTAATTTTTTCATCTTTTATTTTTTTTATTT